AGAAAAACACAAATTTACCTCCATAACCTCCAACCTTTATGCAAAGTAGATTGAGTACACTCGCACCATTAGAGGCACATTTATGGCTTTATGGCTTCAAAGGTTCCCTTGKTTGTAAAGCCACGTCAGAGTTCCATGTTTTATGTTGATGTCATGCAAAAGCATTTCTGTGTATAGTCACTAATTCTACCATTTAAACAGCATAAATTAACACACTGTTAGACAGGAGTAGGTTAACAGTCAGTGAAGGAGGGCAGAGACTCCTCGTACACAATAAACTGGGTGAAGATTACAGACAAGTCAGGGCGCTGATTCACCCACCCAACTACTGTGTGTGCGCGTGCTTGTGCCCTGAAATTATTGCTTGCATGTTTTTGTCAAAACATAAATCACATGATTTAAACAGCTGCAACAACTGGGTGTGTTTGATAACGTTTAACCTTTTGCTCCCATGCGGCTGACTTATAAGAAAAAAGAATCGTAACTTCATTGTCATCTGATTAGTTCATATTTTATTGTCATTTTACTTGTAAAGAAACTTTCCTAAAGTGGCGGAAGTTTCTGTTTTGCCACAGTTTGGTTTCATTCGTTATAAGAGCTGATCGGTTACTGATTCACCCAGTTTAGAGATTCGAATTCTCACACTGAGTCAGGACTCATGAGTCCGATGTGTCATCTCCTCAGACAGGCTGCTGCCTGTAAAACAGTGGCTTCAGATGAGTTGTACCAGTCATGTTTACATGTGTTTATATACATAACAAACATGTAACAGTAGTTTACATTTGAGTTTGTTTGATTTGTACTTTTTACGTCTATTTGTCTTGTTCTGTCATTTGTTAGCTGTTCATTTATTGGTGTGTGGAATTGTAAAATAAACATCTTGGAATTAGGGCTGTGCGGTATATGCGGTAGACGGTAGAAACAGTATGAAGTTGGCCTACGGTAGAAATTTATACTCTACCGTCCTATCGTCATTACGTCATCGCACCTGTGTCARCAGGGCTGYGAGTGCAGAGACAACTGAGCAACAGGAGTTCGAAATATAATGAAGAAATTCTAGTGTTTTAAAAAATGTATAGAGAGTATAAATTCTCAAAATTTCCTCCTCCCGCTGTAGAAAAGTTACGTACGTCGTGTCGCGGGCTCATTTCCCCCTCCCCTCTCCTCTCCTCTCCTCTCCTCTCGCTGCACATCATGCAGAGCGAAGCTTTAACAACTGTAGTTTTTCACACCCAGTTGTCAGAGAAAAAACTTGTTTTTTGTATTGTTACCCACAGAGATTATTAAAAAAAAGACGTGGACATTCGTTCAGTCGTAAATCCATCTTGCTAATGTAAAGTCGGCCTCCGCTCTGATGACGAAGATGATGAAGATGAGCGCACAGCAGAGCAGCAGCTGATAAGTTCATCAGGCAGAAGGTCATCGTTTGGCAGGCAGATATTAAAGCAAAAATGTTGGGTTTAATTAAAATTAAAGTTTTCTGCAAAAAATGCTCTAAAAATTACATTATCTTAACTTTTTATGATAATTTTCTACCGCGATATATACCGTTACCGTGAAGGGGTTCAATTTATACCGTGAAATGAATTTGAGGTCATAGCACCCAGCCCTACTTGGAATAATTTAAATGTGACTCAGAAACATCCACTGTTGTTTTTAGTGACTGACCTGACTCAGTTTAACCCAAGTGAACCAAATTTACCAACTCAACTTGTTACCCTTTATTTGTCTCAGACTGTCTGCTTGGGTTTTTATTGACCAAATTCAGCCAGCTTTGGATTTTTACGTGTCAGCATTTTGATCTTAGCTGTGTCTATAAAAGAAAGGGAAACTGGTTGTGCTTCTTTACGCCACGCTGTTTCCAGATCTGTAACGTAGGAGCATCTGTGTGTGTTTTTGCAGCTCCAGGAGCAGTTGGATCGCTTCATGAAAATGAACGGCGAGCTGCGGCACAAGCAGAGCGTCCTGCAGGCGCAGCTGACGAGCGCCGTGGAGAGGAAGGCCGACATGGAGGCCGACCTGAAGGAGAAAACCAAAGAGACGGAACGACTCAGAGCGCAGCTGAGTGAGCCCGTCACAAACAGCCCTGTACGCCTCCTCCTACACAGAGCGATTCATTTACTGCACACGCCTTTTATCTGATGGTCCGAGGATTATCTGCTCCTACACTCGTCACATGTTCCACATGAGATCTACTATTCAAACACAGAAATAATTTATTTGATTTTAAATAAACTGAGCTATAACAAACAGATTTGTTAATAGAATTTTCAAAAAAGTTGTGAAAAACTGAAATAATTTTGATTTCCACTGATATTGTTAATAATTTTTAAAAATCACGTCAAAGTTTTTTTTTATTTAAATATATAAGTTTTAAAAAATAATATGATAGAAAGCAGCAATAAATTAACAGAAGAAACTTTTCAACTCTTGTCGACAACATATATTGTTAAATCCATGCATTATTCTGTTTTTTATGTTATTTTTCAGAGAAAGTCTTGCTTATTTCAGCAAGTATTTGCTTTTTTTAAACAAAGAACGTTATTTTGAAAACCTATTTTACAAGAACAAGGTTTAAAACAAGAACATCAGAACAGAAAGCCAATTATTTAAAAGGTAAACAATCCATTTTTTATGGAAACAACAACTTATTTGAAATTTCAACATGGTCTTCAGCTTTTTTCCCCACTTTTTTCTTTTGTTCATAGTATCGGATATAAAGTCAAATCATTTTCAGCAGCTGGAAGTGTGCTAAACTTGTCTTTCTGTAACCCGAAATCTGCACAAATTTAAAATATTTGATTCAAAATAAAAGAAAAACAACTTCAAATTTAGCTTCAGCTAATTTTAGTGTCATAGGCATTTGGAAAAACACACAAAAAACCAAACATTTTACTAATAAAAACTGATTTACTTACCTGAATGTTGTTGGGTGAACTTGACGAGCATCTGTTCTCCCATCAGTCCAGTCCCAGTAAAGCAGCAGAAGAGTCGAGCAGAGAGCCGACAGAGAGCCAGCTGGATCTGGATCAGCCCTGCTTCACCAAGAAGGAGGTGCGGGACATCCTGTTTGAGAGGAACGAGCTGAAAACCAACCTCTTCCTGGTGCAAGAAGAGCTCAACTACTACCAGAGGTGAGTCGGATGCGCGGGTGGACAGGTTTTAGTTGAGCTTGTTTGTGGATTTTACAGATTTTAATGCGTCTGCAGGGAAATACTGAACGAGGAGAGGTGTCCGGGTTTCCTTTTAGAAGCCGTCCGCTCCGCCATCAAAACGAAGAGGAGGCTGATAAAGGCCAAGATGCTCGGGATTCCTGCATCGGAATGCAACAGCAGGTTAGACTCACGTTCTGCTCCTCACGTTCAGGACTGTCAGCAGAAACGTGTTCAGAAAGTCAGGAGTTTCTACCTGTTTCCATCTCCAGTGATGATGAAGACAGGTGTTCTCGGTTCGGGCAGACGGAAGTGGACGGAGCAGCGGTGGACGAAGTTGACAGACCGGCCGAGTCACGCATTAGAAACCTGTGAGTTCACTAGTTTATCTTAAATCTAATTATTCTTTCATTTATTATTCATTTCATCCTGGCTTTGTTGCATTTTAATCCAAGCAGAGTGTAGTTGAGGGGTGGCCGCTGTCCTGCACGTTTTACTTATTTCCTCTGCTCACACACCTGATGTGAATGAACAATTGATTAACAGGCTTCTGCAGAACTTGAAGAGGTGATTAAGTCACTGAATTAAGTGTGTTGGAGCAGAGAAACAACTAAAACTTGCAGGATTATGGCTCTCAAGGACCAGGCTTAAACATCCCTGGTGTTGATGAAATACAAAAAAACTTTGGTGAGAAATCAGACTTCTTTTACAAAACATTGGACAGAAACAATCCAACATGACTCTCAGTCTCGGTCCTGAGCTCCGTCAGCCCCTGTCTATTTTTAGCCATAATCCCCCCGACTGCAGATCTGACCTCAGGCCTGTCTCTTTCATTCTGTCGGCCACAGCTTTGGATTTCTGACGCGGTCGGGCAGCGGCTCCGCCCCCACGAGCAACTCCGCCTCCAGCTGGGAAGTTATCGGCGACACCGAGGCCAGCGAGGATGTGGAGCAACAACTGTCCTCTTAAACCTGGTACCCTGTGGGATTTCTCCCCGTTCGCCTGGCTGTTCTGTTTAGGAAACAGTCGTTTGGACATTTGAATGCAAAACCACAACATAAACATTATTTGAGTTTAGGAAAAAACAAAACAACAACAACTTTTGACTAATTTTAACAATCCTATCAGCTTCCTCATTGTTTATTTAAAATAAGCTGTTTAACAGTTCAGGTATTATAAGAACAATCATGCTATATTTTATTATAAGAAGAATACGTTTTACTGATGTGGTTTTTAGGGATTTATATTTTTGTATACGCCCTCAAAGTTTTATGTAAATTCAGCTTCTTTTCAGCTGAAAGATAAATGTATGATCGAGAAAACACGAGTAAAAAATAAAATATTCTGTAATGTCATTTGTTTTCCAATATAATGGATTTAACTATATTTTATATTTAAAAGGATTTATTTTTAGATGTAGTTTATAACCATATTTCAAATGCTTGAGATTATTTTATTATTTATTCTTTCCAGGTGGTAAGAAAACTTTTATAATTAGTTTTACAAAACTAAATACATGCGCAATATAAAGTTTCACTAATAATTCATCAAGTCATGCTCTTATATGAAAAGTCTGTGGCATTTTTTTTGTTGGTTTACTTCAGATTATTTATTAATTTAAATCCTTTTTGACTAATGTTTGCACTGTTCACAAAAGTTTCAAACAGCGACCTCGTGGGATCTGTTGGCGCTCCGTGATGAGAATGACTTTCAGCTACAGAACTGAAAGTCATTTATTCATGAAATAAATGATTTTTCATTTTAATGTTTTAGAAAGTTTCTCCTATAATGTCATAGGATGTAGCAGCCACCAAACCAAACTTTAGCTCCGCATCGTTGTCGGTACAGATTCCTGATCCAATAAACAAAACTAAAGGTGTTTCAATGTGGCTGCTTCAACATCTAAATTTTGTCACACATGTCACAAACATCTTTATAAAAGATGATTTAAATTAATAAATTTCACACGTTTAATATTTGTGTTTACAGATTCATCTTCCAGAGAAAAAACAAACAAACTTTATTTTGTTGGACTCAATGCGGGACGTCTCTAAATTCACATCAGTTCCACCAGGGGGCGCTTTTACATTATATACTTATTATTTGTGTTACTTCTAAAGCCTCATGGTTTGTTCATGATTTGAAGCACTTGTATAGATGTGGGAAAAAAAAGAGTTTTAGTCACAGAACCAGGTTCTTCTAGCGGTGAGGGTATTTTAACCCTTTACGCCTTAACTTAATGCTTTAATTTTTAAAAATTTTCTTCCTATTTTTGATTATTTTGACACAATCAAAGCACCTGGATGAGTTTGTATTTGATAACAGTGCCATATGTGTGCTGATGTATCAGTATTTGTACTCTGATTTACTCAGTGTTGTCCTCACGGCTTTAAAGAAAATCTTTCCTCTGATGTCATTTCTGTCTCCCTGCTTTAATGTTTAATCAGACCGACACGCCAGGCGGATGTGTTACTGAGGGACAACAAATCAACTTCTAATGACAACACCCTTTAATACATTGTTTACATTTCATTCATGTAACTGACTTTCCAGATGATAAAATGTACTGGGTGTGTGAAAACCAAAAATATAGGATTTTGTTATCATAATAAAATTCAATAAACAGAGGATACAATCTGAATACTGGGATGATTTTAGTGTCCCCCCTCCCCCTTCTGATAAAGAGGAAATGTTGAATGTTGTGTGAAAATGAGTATTTTTTACAGACGCTGAAAGTGATCTGACRTGAGGAACGATGAAGGCTTTCTTCATCATCTCCTGTAAGAACCTCAACAATAGGTTCTGGGAAAGAAGGTGCACAGCAGATGTGTGTGTCATGCTTTGTACGTGCCCCACCAGTGTGTTTCTGTGTGTGTGTGTTACCATCTTTAAAAACAGCCCTGTGTCCAAGTGAATAGAAGGAAGTGGCTCTGACTTCCCTAGGAAACGGGGAGAGGAAAGCCGGGGGCTTTGACCTCTCTGGCTGCACCGGAGCCACAAGGCGACTCACCAGAGAGAGAGAGAGAGAGAGAGAGAGGGAGGGAGGGAAGGGTGGATGTTGGACAGAGAAGAAAAAATAATTTGGTTCCAGTTTGTAGAACTGGACTTTGTGTGGAGATGAAGTTTCTCAGAGCTCTGAGTGCTCTGCTCTGCTGCTTGTTGTCCTCTGCTCACACTCTGGATCCTGGAGGGAGGAACGTCTGCAAGACTTTAAGGTATGTTACATTTTGACTTTCATTTGTACTGCTGTTGTTTTTTTTTTTTTTTACCACTTAATTAAACAAAGGACTCAAGTACCAACAGCTGGAGAGAGTTTGTTTTACAATAATTAAGGTAGTTCAGTCTGGACCTTATACAGTATTTCTCTAGTTATCTTTAAAACAGGAAACAAACAACGTAATAAACATTATTTTCACATCATGTTCTCATTAATATTCTAGCTCTGGACAATCTGGATAATCAACCTGTCATTGTCTATCCATCCATCTATTTTCTTTTCTCTCTGGGTCACAGGGAGCTGGTGTTTATCACTTGTAAAAAGTGGGGTACACCTGGACAGGTCGCAAGTCCATCACATGGACACATATAGACAAATGAGACACAACCAATGAGGGACAATTTAGAGTTTTAAGTGAGCCTTAGGTATGTTTTTGGTCTATGGGAGGAAACCGGAGTACTGGGACCCACCACGTGTGCACAGGGAGAACAAGCTAACTCCACTCAGAAAGATCCCAGCTGAACCCACAACCTGTGAGGCGACAGCTCTGTTCCACTGTGCCGCTCCACTGTCATAAAGAAATTACAAATGGTATAATTYATACATGGACCCAAATCTAAGGGATCAATGTGCTTTTTAAAATACTGCATGCAAAAAAAAACTTGATGCTTCTCTGCATGGAGGCAAAACACCTGCCRGTCACTGTCTGTCTTGTTTGATTTTACTGGAAAAATATCTAGAAGGCCTTCAATCATGCTTTCATCTCTCTTTCTCTCTTGGCGACCGTCATGTAACAATAACTTTGGTACAAAGTACTTAGTTTGATTTAAAAACCAGACCTACACTGATCTTAAAAGATAAAGCACAAACGTGTCATCCTGAGGAAATAAATGATTTTTCATTTTAATGTTTTAGAAAGTTTCTCCTATAGTGTCATAGGATGTAGAACTGAGCCTGACATAATCCAGGTTTGAGTTTGGCCTAAATATATATGTTTATATTTATTTTTTACATCCAGAGTTTGATTTTGTTGTTTCCTGACTCCTCAGAGACCCCACCACTCTGGTCTGTTGCAGTGGGTGGCGTCAGCAGGGAGGCGAGTGCACCACACGTGAGTTTGTGTAACCTAATTCAAGAAATTTAATAAAATGACACTGTTGACTTCTTTGTATGTAATTTCTGATGAATGCTGTGTGTGTGTGTGTGTGTGTGTGTGTGTGTAGCCGTGTGTGAAGGCGAGCAGGCGTGTCTGGAGAATGAGATCTGTTTATCTCCGGGAGTGTGTCGCTGTCCATCTGGCTACTATGGAGCTCAGTGTAAAACACGTGAGTTAAATAGTCATAATCATGTCTTCKTTTGGTTCATCTGCCACATAAAACCTTTGTTTTTTATGTCACTGAATGTAAAAAAAACAAATGTACATACAGCTTTACAAGCATCATTAGAGGCTCAGGTGATAAAACTGGTTTCTGGTGATAAAAAAAGTTGTTTCTGCACAAAACAGGTAATCACAGATGGTAAATATAATGACTTTTCATTTATATTGTTAAATAGTCTAGCTGTAAAAAACACAAAATATTTAGTAAATGTGTAGTTTTACCAAATTATCATCATATTTTTATTGAAGAAAGCTTAAATCCTGGTAATAAGATAAAAATTAAAATCAAAGATGGTTTGATTTTATTCAAAACAGTTGTTTCTTTCTGTTCATCTTTCTGTTGAGCACATTTTTATGTTATGTTTAAGCTCAGAAAATAAAACTCCATCACAAAACATGTAAGAATTTTGCAAATGTTTAATGTAAAATAAAATAAAATACAGCTCAAAAATTGGTAGAAATTTGTAACAACTGGAGTCAAAAATATATATAGGATGTCAAAATGAAGAGTTTGTGTGTAGAAACTGAACATGTCAAAGTCTACATTAAAAGCCAGATTTAAATCAGAACATAAAACAAAGTTTTTATTTTCCATGTAGACCCTGGTTTTGAAATTGCAGGGTTTTAATGTAGAACTACCTCCGGGGACTGAATACATCTGAAAACTATAGAAAAGAAAATTCTTAAAATAAGTTCAAACACTTATTTTATTTTTGAATGGACACTGCCAAATGCTCAGCTGGTCTGTGTGTTCTCTGTGTGTTTGGTACCAGGYTGTCCTCCTGAGTTCTGGGCTCCAGACTGTCGTCAGGTGTGCCGGTGCTTCCCTCATGGCCGCTGTCACCCCGTCACCGGCGAGTGCACCTGCAACCTCAACCGCTGGGGTCCGCTTTGTCAGAACGCCTGCAAGTGTGCCCGCGGCGGCCACGGCCACTGCCACCCCGTCTTCGGGAAYTGCACCTGCGACAAAGGCTGGTCGCTGCCCACCTGCTCCAGACCCTGCCAGTGCTCCGTCCCGGGGTCGGTGGACACCAGCTGCGACCAGCTGACGGGCCGCTGCCAGTGCCACAGAGGATTCTGGGGGGTCAGGTGTGCCTCCAAATGCAGCTGCAACCTGTCTCCGTGTAACCAGTGGACCGGCGTGTGCGAGTGCGTGGCGGGCTGGTGGGGGGCCGGCTGTGACAGGAAGTGCAGCTGCGACCTCGCGTACAGCTGGTGCGATCCGAACACGGGACAGTGCGTGTGCCACCCGGGTTACCACGGTCTGTCATGTGACCGGCCGTGTGGCGCTGGGAGCTACGGCAGCGGGTGCAACATGAGGCAAGTCTGCGATCGTCTACAAGTTGAGGTCTTTTTGACGTTTCTCCCAGAGTTCTCAAGTTACTAAGTACAAATACTTCTTTACTGTACTTAAGTAGAATTTTTGAGTATCCGTACTTTACTTGAGTAATTATTTTTCAGCCTTGTTTTTACTTCTACTTCTTACATTTTCACACAGTTATCTGTACTTTCTACTTCTTACATTTTTTAAAAAGGTAAGAAGTAGAAAGTCATCACTTTTATTTCATTTTAGCTTGTTTACATTCCAGCTTATTATTGTAAAAAATAAATACTATCCATATAAATTGTGCCTCCTAGATAGAGTGAATTTAACTGTGGTTGAATGAGAAGTAAAAATATATAAAAATCTGATACCGTATTAGTTTGTACACAAACAAATCATGTCACACTCCAGCAGGACATAATCATTAAAATAAAAGGACGGTACTTAAGAAGTATTTGTATTTCATGAATTATATTATTACATTTGGCTGCAACCCTCAGATAGATTTTCATTTTGGGGGAAAAGGTTTGGGCAGCCTTGATATATGTATATAAACTGAAGCAGCTGGACTAGTGCATCCTAAATTTAACATAAATTAAAGATTATTTTAATATGAAAGTCATTTGTGCAGTTTTTTGGGAAGGTCACCTCCTAATAAATGTCATTACAYAAAATCTAACTGCTCATTTTAAATCAATACTTTTACTTTTAATACTTAAGTACAAAAAATATCAGATACTTTAAGACTTTTACTCAAGTAATATTCCTAAAGGAGACTTTAACCTTTACCCAAGTAATTTTTTGGTAAGATAGTTGTACTTTTACTCAAGTATCACTTTGTGGTACTTTACACAACACTGGTTTCTCCTGACGCCGTCTCCTGTTTTTAGTTGCGGTCACTGTAAGGACCGCCAGCCTTGTTCCGCCACGGACGGAGGGTGTGCTGCCTGCGAGCCTGGCTGGAACGGCACGCGGTGCGACCACCAGTGCCCGTCTGGTTTTCACGGCCGCGGCTGCAAGGAGAGGTGTCCTCGATGCAGGAATGACGAGAGCTGTGACCCAGAAACTGGGAACTGTAGGAGGTGTGACCCTGGATGGACCGGAACCAGGTGCGTGTGCGTGTGTTGAACAGATAAAACAGGCATCAAATCACAAAATCTGCCCAGAAAGCTTCCCACAATACACTACAGGACAAAACCATAACTCTTTTCTKACGGTCTACTTTTAATACCTGCAGCTTATTTAGACTGAGATCAGCTTCTGTTGAAAAAAGTGATGAAATTAAAATGATGCAGTCTCTCATACAGTTTCGCAAGATCTCGCATGATTTGCTGGCTCTCAGAGCTTGGAGCATGTATTGGATAACTCTCAGCTACTTTCACRTTAAGTTTTATCTCTGCAGCTGTAAAACTCACCGAGTTGTAGCTATTTTTGTGTTGGTTGAATTCAATGAGCTGTGGCTGCCCTCTTGACTTGGATTGTCTACAAGTGAATGAGCTGTAGATGTGCATTCAGGGATTTCTTTCTGAGAATTTCATTAAAATCTGCCCAGCGTTTCATGAGATATTTTGCTAACAGACATCTAAAGTTCACTAATAGTTATTTGCCAAGTTGTAAACAAAAGACTTGTGCAATCTGTAAGAGCTCAAAGTATGTGTTGGGGATGACTCAGCTACCACCACACCAAACTATAGCTGAATATTTGTAAAATTGACTGCGTTGTAGCCATTTTTGTGTCTTAGTTCGACTAGCTTTGGCGGCCATCTTGGGCCAAATTGATTCCAAAAGTTAATGAGTTGTAGGCGTGAATCCTTTAATTACTTTTTAAAGGCTTAATTACAGTCCATGCACTGGTTGATGAGATATTTTGCTAACAGACAAACACACACAGACAAAGATAAGAACATTACTGACCAACTTTCAGCAGGAGGCGATAGAGTGCAAATATTGTTTTCATAGTTTACAGTTCTTTCTGTGTTCTGTGGTCTGATGTGGGAATTTATCACCTGCTTGCTATAWTTTCTCACAACTTCACAAATGTATCAATCAAAACCAACTTTAAACRGTGTTTAATGTAAATTCAGGAGAATTTGTGATAAAACTCTTACAGTTTCTGAAAATCCTCGTGTCTTTTAATGAGTTTATCTCTTTTAGAACAGCAAGGCTGAGACTGAAGTAAAAAAAAAAAACAGTATTTGTGTCCTCATCCAGGTGTGAGGAGCCCTGTCCCAGTGGGACACACGGAGACGCCTGCAGCTTCCTGTGCAGCACCTGTTTTCATGGTAACTGCCATCACGTGACAGGAAGATGTGTGTGTCAGCCTGGTTTTCAGGGAGAGAGGTGAGCAGTCGGGTCAAGGCTCTTAATAAAAAGTTGTTTATCTAAAGTTAAAGCGTCAGACACCTCTGTTGAAGACAGAGTAGAAAGTCAAAACATAAAGAGACTAATTAAAATGTCAAGATTTTATTACATATAGACACAATGAGTTTTTTTTAATAAGAGCTAAGTTTAATTACTTATAATTAAGATGTTCTGTGTTTTCCAGCTGTAACAGCAGCTGCCCTGTCCTGCAGTTTGGTCTCAACTGTTCGTCTTTCTGTGACTGTGGTGACGGAGTCGGCTGCGACCCCGTCTCTGGCGCCTGCCCCTACAGTAAGTCCAACCGTTCACTCGTTCATCCGTCTTCCCTCGCGCATCTGTGAGGCTTCGAGCCTGAACGACATCAGATGTTTGTGAATATTTGTCTGTCAGGTGGTCGAGGGGCTGTTCTAGCAGGCGTGCTGGTTCCTTTGTTCCTCCTGTTGTTTGCCGTTCTGTGCTGCTGTCTGTGCTGTGGAGGACGCCCTGCTGCTGGCAAGGACAGGTCTGCTCCTTTATAGACTTCAATAATTGTGTCAGGTCCATAGACTTGAATAAGGTCACTAGACTGAGCCCCGCCCATACCGTCCACTGGTAGCGTCTGTGACAGCATGGAGGAGCAGAAATGGCGTCCAAACAGTGCAACAACTCACTGCCTCCATAGAAACAAACAGATAAACAGCAAGCTGAACCTGATCTGTTTCACAGATTATTGGTCATGTTTTTACAATAAATTAATAACCATGTTAATCTCATTCAACAATCACATAAAACAGATTTATACCAGAAAAATATATAATTTAAAAGTAACAATGATCTAAACCAGACCTGAAATCAGCCTGTAACTTAGACTTTAGCTAGTTGAAAAATGATGACTTCAGCTAGTAATAAAGTATATTTAATATTTTTCTTACTGTCATAAAAGAATAATAATATTTATATTTACCAGTCAACAGTTAGAAAATGTTCACTGGTTATAGGATGAAACTTGTCTCTATTAGCTAACATCTTCTTAACAAGTCAGGTTCCTCTAACAGAAACCTAAAAACACACATTTATAATATTATTTTACACTCTGTAGGTATAAATATTAATCAGAGGACAAAGTAATATTTAATAGTTTTTTAATAATTTTAATTTTAAACTGTTACATTATGTTCTGCTCCGATCACATTGAGCTAAATAAGATCAAATCTGCTGACTTGTGTTGTGAAATGAGACGTTTTCCTGTTTATCTTCTGTTAATAAATCCATAACACAAACAGCTTTTCTGACATTATTTAAAACATTAGATAGATTATATAAACTGTAAAATATTAATAATAATTGGGTTAATATTATTAATAGTTTTTATGATTTCTACATCGTCAGTCCTTTTTTCTGCTCTGTTGTCAACATGTACAGTAATAATAAATCCAGACTCTTGACTGTTTAGCATTAGCCGTTAGCTTCACCAGCCGATCACACGGTCACGTGGTTTCTGCGCACTCCAGCTGTTCTATATAAACTCCTTGGTCAGGTCTTTCAAACTGATGTATCATCTATAAATAGTAACATTTTGAACAATAAATGTGACTCGTGCTGGAAAAATGAGTCTGAATGAACACAGGCCAYAGTTTAAAATCAAGATGTTTTAGACAGTTTGTGGTTGTTTTTGCTGTTAGAGAATTAATTCACTTTGTTTGAACATGTTCATGCTCAAAACTACAAAAAAAGAGTGAAATAAAAATAAGTATACGACTTTTTAAATATGTTTTATTATTATTATTATAAAGTTTTTTTTTCTTTGCAACAGTGTGGCTGTGGCTGAAGGCGGTTTGTCTGTTAGGATGAAATATCACGTCTACAGCGTCCTGGCAAACATCGGCGCCGCCCTCCCCTGCATCTCTGACTGGTCCTCTGGCTTGCCTCGAGTCACGGGTCAGTACCACCATGAAGGACTGAAAACAGGCTTCCTTTTCAAGAAATAAGCAGCTGTCACTACTTTTGAAGTACTTTCATGGACATTTTGTGCCTGATTTCCACACAGTCTCTCACCACGACCCGGAGCTGACTTTTAACCACAGCTTCATCGAGCCTCCCTCCTCTGGTTGGGTCACTGAGGGGTCGTCGTTCGACAGCGACGAAGAGGAGGGAGAGGCTCTTTACTGTGTGCCTCCAAGAGAAGGTAGGTCAACCTTTACGTCTTAAAAACATTGCAGCTGAGAGTTTCTCTAATTTGCTCCGACGTCTCCTCTCAGACATCCTGGAAGTGGCCGGAGGAGAGTTCCAGGAGATGAGCTCCAAGTGCAACATGTTCTTAGACCCGTCCGGCTTCAGCAGCGAGGACATCGCCTCACCCTTCAACATCCCTCGGACCTCCAGCATCGCCAAATCCAAGCGCCCGTCTGTCTCGTTCGCAGAAGGCACCCGCTTCAGCCCCAAGGAGAGGCGAGGCTCCGGGCAGGACGTTGGGACTCCTCTGCGCAGCAAGGCCAAGTCCCCCTGGGGGGTCCTGATGCTGTCGGCCCTCCAAAGCCAAGGAGGCACGGTGAGAAATGGGGAGGGGAGTGGAGCTGAGGGTGAGGAAGAGGAGGATGGGGCAGATGATCAAGCTACAGAAAATCAGGAGTTAAGGTGTGAGGAAGAGGCCCAGGAAGTAGACCGATCCCAAACTCAGGAGGCCAGTCAAGCTCTTGGGTCCTCAGGACGAAGACGGACCATGTCCAACACAGCTGCTCATAAAGGAACCTCTGAGCGAGAGGTGGGGGCACCGCGTAAGGTCACCACAGTGTACGTGACGGTGGGTAAGGCAGGCCGGCCCCTAACAAAGACAGACTCGGGTTCTGAAGGCCCGGTTCAGGCCATGCTGCGCAGACTCGGCAGCTTACAGAGACAAAGGGAGCAGGAGCCAGGGAAGCCACGGTCAAAGGCAGCTGAAGGCATCACCAAACCCCCCAGGAGCAAACTGGGAGCTCGGGTCGCTGTGTGGGAGCAGGGAGGTCCGTCTGGCATTTGTAAGCCAATCAGGAGGAAGCACGCTTCCCACAATCCTCCCATCACCTCTGGTCCCGTCGAAGCCGTACCAGCAGAGAACGCTTCAAAACGACCACCATCGTCAATTTTAAAAAGCAGATCTGACTCAGGATCAGACCTGAGAGTCGAGGGAGGCTCAGGTCAGGGTGCTGACGCAAGTTCAGAACGAACGGAGAGCAGCTACCAAACAGTGGGAGCAGCAGGAGACGCTCTGGACATCCTCACCAACCAGGGAGCAGGGGTGAACATGGATGTTGAACCCTGCTACGAAAACATCTTCATTAAAAATTGATCCAAACTTTATTTTATTWTTTTACAGACAGCTTTTAGAAAGATTAGTAAAAAAAAAGGCTGTTGAATATTTGACTGATTACAATGTTTTTACTGACTCCAGTAAAGGAACTAAAACACTGTTGAGTTATTAACTGGAACTCAGAAAAGTGGACTWGGTTTTAATATTTATAAACACGACTGCAGGTTATTGTTTTTTGTGACAGAGCACCTCCATAAAATCTGTCATATTTTATTACTCRCTGTGTAAAATATTTTCTTATTAGAAGAAATTAAAAGCACAGTTAGTAGATATATAAACTGTAGAAAACATGATTCTTATGCAACTTTTTTTTTTTTTACTGTCAGGCCTCTGAGGTTTTCTTAACCATTTGGTGATAAAGTCAGTCAGCTGACGACACAAGATAAACTGGCTAAACTTTGGCCGCACGGACTTTTACTGATTGCTCATGTTTGCTGAAGTTGAGCAACTAGTTATAACCTGAACAAGTTTCAGTAAAAATAAAAAGACTCATTCTTTACAAAGTACTGTAACCACATTGAACACAYACAAAACAAATCAAAAACTATTTCTTCTCTGCTCCGGTTGTGTTTGAACAGCCGAGCCAGTACTTGGCGATGGATCTGGGGTATGGCGGCATGGCGGAATCGACTCTCTTCGTCCTGAGGTCCACTCTGTAGTATTTATCTAGAAAACACAAACAAAGCAGTCATTTTTTAACTTAGGCTGCAGATTGTGCTTACGTCACCAGGTTTTTCCTTAATTTCAACATTAATCAAAACTTGTCATAAGAATGGTAGTTAGATGGGCATAAAGACCAGAAGCCACCACGAGGATCTAACAATGAATTGAGAAAAACAGGCAGTTTTTGTGCTCTTCAGGGTGATGAGTATTTGGAAACAGGTGTCCCGATTCCTAACAAAAGCTAATTGACGTGTAAAAAGATGGACATCAGGAGGCTACGGCCAGAGCTGCAAATACAAATCGTAAATGCAACCAATTAAATAAAAGAATCTAAACAAAAAACCCACCCAGAGTGTCATAAAAATATCCAAACTGTGACACTAGTTTAGTGCTTGGTGCATCAAAAACAAACAAATAAACAAACAAACAAACAAACAAACAAACAAACAAACAAACAAACAAACAAACAAACAAACAGCCCCACATACAGAAACACAGCAAGCGGAGAATGAAAAGAAAGATTTGGATCTTCCTCGTGCTGACAAACAGGAAACACGTGAAACCAGTTATTATAATAAGTTTTCTGTGATCCGACAGACAACTTATAAGATGATCTAATCAGTTCAGATTGGGTGTACAACTAAACCCTCGCTGCTTTCTGCAAGTTTGTCTAAAAATCTGACCCTTCTTTGGATTTGAACTGATGTGAACTAAACAGACTAAACATGTCATCTTGTTGGAACGAAGTGAGGATCTGGTTGCATTCATGTTGTTTGTCTTTATACGTCTGGCTAAATTAGATTCCTCCTTTGGATAATAAAGTAAAAACGGATTAATATAGATTTCAGCTCACTCAGAATTAACTTGTGGGATATGCTAACCTTTATTTTTTGTTTTATGACTTAGCAATGCACGGCTGATTATCAGGGTTAGATGGTTTGATTTAGCTATTGTGAAATTTTAACCAAAAATGTTCAGGATCACACGTTTTCTGTTGGTAAAATTGCTGCTTTATGTCCTTCTATATTTGAAGTTTTAGATCTGAGCAATGCAACCATGTTGTGTTRGGCATCATGAGGAATAAATGTTTTAATAATTATTACAGGACAGTGATGTTTGAATGAGTTAATTTTACCTCCTTTGAAGAAGTAAACACTCTGTATAGGCATGTCCCTCTGGAAGAAGCGCTCATTTCTGGAGTCGTAGTTGCCTCGGTTGTTCTGATTGTAGCGATCCCAGCGCCTGCTCTGGTCCCAGTCCTGGTCCCGACGTCTGCTCTGATCCCAGTCCTGGTCCCGGCGTCTGTCCCAATCCCGACCGAGCCTCTCCTCCATTTCCATCCTCCTCTCTGCCAGTCTCATACCCATCTCCATCCCTCTCTCAGCGAACCCTTGACCCATGTTCATCCCCTGCTCGGCTATGGACCCCCAGGAGGGCGACCGGTTCCACCTCCTCTGACCCCTCTGCCACCTGTTCTGTTGGCCCCACTGCTGGTCAGGCTGGTAGTCAGACCACCGCCCCGACCTCCAGGGAGCAACGTAGATTCTGCCGGCCATGGCAGCATCCACCGGAGACTGGAGGCCCACCCAGTCTCTGTTAATGAAGTGGTGTTTGTCTCGATGCTGAGGCCCTGGTAAGGTCAAACAGGTCAACACACATCCTACGTTTGTCGAACAAAAAGTGTGAGAGTCCCAACTTACAGTCAGAGTAGAGCTCAGTGAAGTAGCGCTCGTAGTTGCTGTAGTATAGATCCGTGTAGCGCCTGAACAGCGTGGACGGAGACCTCTCGGACATGGCGGCACACTCCTCGTGGGACGGCTGATGCAAGAATTCGTAGACGTAATACTGGTTGCCTGGACAAAAACATCCGTTGAACATTTGGGGTTTATGATAATGAGCTTCTTGCTTGCGTTCTGGGACCCTACCTTTGAAAAAGTAGACCTTCTCCTTCCCGTGGTGACTGTGCGCCGGCAGGGCGAACGCTGCATCTACGTGATCAGGGATCTTCTCAAACCCAACGCTGATTTCTCGAGGGTAGTCATCTTCCAGCACACCGTTGTTGAACCTCCAGTACTTGTCCCCCTGATGAGAGTTTAGATTCAGACAATAAATCAGGAGCGCAGACGGGAAGTAGTATTCTTCACCCTCACCTTAAAGATATAGGTCTTCCCCTGGCAGTTGATGCGAGTGAACGCAGCATCAATGGGACCGGTGATGCCCCACACGTCCTCTATGAGCTTTGGATAACCAGGAAGCACCGAGTTCTGGTCCAGCTCGAAGAAGTACTTCCCTGCATACCAGGTTCATCAACCACTGAACAAGACTACGACGGTACCTCGAAATATTGCTTAACATTAGAGGAAGTACGACTCACCTCTGAAGGCGTAGATGGAACCATTTTTCAGCTGCATGAAGGAGTCAAAAGGTCTGATGCCGCAGACCTCAGCATCCGGGTCCGGGGCTGCTGTGATGGGGACTGTGGTGGTCTCAGCCATTTCATGAGTCCGAGGAGCATCCGTTGTAGGAGAGGGGTCACTTTTGGGTGCAACTGTGTGTGGGGCATTTGTGACTCTGGGATTCATTAGTCGTGGGGGTTTGGTCATCTGCAGGCTGGTCTCTGGAGGTGGAGCCAGTCTGCGGCTGAAGTCTGGGACAGGAGGCTGTGAAGGTGAGACAACTGAAGGTCCAGGAGGAGTGGTGCTTTCAGGCAAGTCGTAATCATCATCTTCGGCAAACACAAACGTGTCGCCACGTGCTGATGGGAGGAACACAGGTCATTAAACTCTGAAACACGTTGGATTTGGACCAAACTAGAGACAAGTTTCCTTACTCGTCTTCCCACAGACGGTCTCATAGTCCGAGCAGCAGCTTTTGTAGTATTTACACATGGAATCACACTGGCACGTCCTCTGAGAGTCGAAACCGTTTTCACACCGGTTCAAACACGACTCTGATGACAAAACAGACATCGTATTAAAGCTCCTGTTACAGCTCACGAGGCAAAAACTTCAGCTTTTTGTTTCCTGTTTAAAAATAAACCTCAGCAGAAGTCAAATATTTTCTTTGTTTGTTTTTCAGTCATAAAACCTCAGCACACATTGTGAAAGTGACCAAAAAGACTTTCTCTTCCTTATTGTAAGCTTCAGCTTTTTCTTCATTTTAGAGAAGTAAACTTCATGCTGAGATTATTATCGCATTTTAGCCTGAACCTGAACTCGACTTCCACAACACATTATAGTATTTAAACAGACAGTACAATACAAAGTACTAATACTAGTACAAAGTACTAATACAAAGAGCTGCTAGGCATTGTAAAAGTAACTATAAAAACCATAGCAGCCAAAGTTGGGTCTGTTTCTGCAATAAAAGTAAAAACTGACAGATTTGTTGCACATTTGACCAGCTTTCAAATAAAGACAGTAGTTTTTTTAAGTAAGTGTGAAACAGTTTATAGAATTTTTTTTTTTTGGTGAAACTCACCGTCTGAGGCCTCAGAGACGAGAGCGAGCAGCAAGACGATGAACAGCCTCATGTTGTTTCTGCTGACTGACTCACTGAGGAACGATGAGACACACACTCAGTTATTGGAAACACGAGTCAGTCAACCCTCGTTTGTTTACTTTAACCTCAGTTCTTCAACTAAACACAAAACAGCTGAGATCAATAAGACAGAGGTTCTCAAACTGGAGTCCCTGGACTCCTAAGGGTCTACGAGAAGTATCTTGGGGGTCCTCAAAGATTTTTGCTAAAATGTTAATTTGGCTTTTATTTAAAAAAAAATGCACGGAGAACAATGAACTAATAAAACAAAAACTTAATAAAAATATATTCCCATGGCATTTAGGTGTTGAAATGACAATAAATTATATTTTAAAACAGCATGGGGTTTATGAGGGGGTCCATGGAATTTTTTTTTGTCCTTGTAAGGGGTCCCCAGACCCAAATGGCTTGAGAACCCCTGCAATAAGAAACAAAGGGTCAGACCTATCTGATGACACCCTGCCAAGTTACATTTATACTGCAGTTTATGACTCGTGATGTGGTTTCTGGAGGTAACAGAATTAAAAATGTATGGTTTTAGCACACGATTAGGAACAAGTTTCATCTATTTGTGGCTGAGTCATCACAAGGCCTCAGAAAACCAGGACAACTGCTGAAAGGTGTTATATCATAAGCAAGTCTCATTCAGTATTTTTGGACACTTCAAATGTGAAACAGAACCTGCAGATACAATAAATGTCTTTCTCCACGCTGCCTCACATTGTAAACAATGACTCTTCTTTTTTCTTCTATAATCTGCAGTTTGTCATCTGTTTTAGTCTCGAACAGAAATAAAAGATATGAACAGACATGAAAGAAAAACACTGAGGTGAGGCAAAAACAAAACAAAACAAAAGAAAACAAAAATCGAATCAAATCAAATCCAAAATAAAACAAAACAACATTAAAAGCTGATCATGCCTTAAATGCAAAACAAGGGAAGTAAAGAACAAAAGGGCAGAGAAACAGTAATATATGTGAGCCAAATATAAAGTGAAAAGCAGAGGAAATAGAGTCGGTATGTTTACATCCAGACCCTCATCTGCGCATGCGCAGAGTCACAGACCGCACTGAGTACAAGGTGCAGGAAAGTGAGCGTCTCTTTGTTTTTTGAAGACATCTTTATTTATGATTATTTTTTTATACACAGAGGAATTATACCAGAATTTCAGCGGATGAAGACCAAGTGACGAGTTTGTGTAAATATGTGTTTACTTCTGTGTGTGGACAACAAACGGAGCCCGTAAACATCCTGTTGTCTCCGCCGGTAGATGCTCCTTTCTCTGCTCCTCTTCCTGTTCAGGCTCCGCCGACATCTGTCCTTCATGTTCAGCTCAGACAGACTCACTGTTCCGGATTATGTCAGCCGGCTGCAGAGAGGCAGGAGTGGCTCCGGAGGCGAGACCAAGCCGGTGTCTCCGGGGGTCCACGCGGACGTCCAGGCCGCCCTGGACGCYTCGCTTCCGGCCCTACGCTCCGCCATCAAGAGGCTGAGGTCCGCCAAAGAGCAGTCCGACTCGGAGGAGACCCGCGGGGCCGTGGCAGAGATCTATCAGCTGGTGGAGGAGGCCTGGGTCTTACCCACCGTGGGCCGGCAGGTGGCCGAGGAGATCTGCACCAGGATCCGTCTGGACGGAGGCCTGGAGCTGCTTCTTCAGCTGCAGCAGACACCCACCGTGGAGATCATGTACGAGGCTGCAAAACTGCTGGAGCAGATCCTGATCTCCGACAACAGGTACTAACCCTGAGCCTCTGGTTTCAGAATAAACTGAAGAAATTAGAACAAACTGTTTTTGTGACAGGCTGCTGGGAACAAAGTGGTTTTGTCTATTGTGCTGGTTTTCTCTTAGATTTAAGAGTTTTTGGTTGAAAGATCAGAGTTTAGTGGGTTAACAAACAAAAACATTGCTCAGATAATGGTCAGGACTGAAAAAACAAACAAACAGCCAAGGTCCCACCAAAAAGTCCAAAGATCACAAGTAAGTTAGGCTGCTTTGAAGCATGACCCGATACTTTTGTATAGTACTATATCCCTTCTTCATTTCAGTCCAAACACTGCAGTACGCTTGAGTTCTGATAMCCTCTCTGTACACAGGGACTACGTTGCCCGTATGGGTCTGGGAGTCATCCTGAACCTGACCCGACAGCGGGAAGATGCCCAGCTGGCTCGCAGCGTCTCCGGCATCTTGGAGCACATGTTCAAGCACACAGAAGAGACGGCCGTCCACCTGATTTCCAACGGCGCCCTGGACACCCTGCTGTTCTGGTGCCGGGGCACGGACCCAACCGTGCTCCGGCACTGCGCCGTGGCTCTGGCTAACTGCGCCATGTACGGAGGCCACCGCTGCCAGAGATGGATGATCGAGAAGCAGGCGGCCGAGTGGCTTTTCCCCCTGGCCTTTTCCAAAGAGGACGAGCTCATACGCTTCCATGCCTGCCTGGCAGTGACGGTGCTGGCCGCCAATCGAGAGATCGAGAAAGAGGTGGTGAAGTCGGGAACCTTGGAGCTGGTGGAGCCGTTTATCGCATCCCTGGATCCAGATGACTTTGCCCGCTGCTTGTTGGACAGTGCCGACTGCATGCAAGGAAGAACAGCATCGGACCTGCAGCACCTCCTACCTTTATTAGACGGCTCACGAGTGGAAGGGAAGTGCATCGCAGCTTTTTACCTTTGCGTCGAGGCCAGTATCAAATCCCGACAGCGCAACACAAAGGTACAACCCCTGTTTAATTGTCACATGCCACAAATAGTTCATTGACTGGCTTACTTGTGATAAATGTGCTGTTTCCTCTAGATTTTTCAAGAGATCGGTGCCATCCAGAGCCTGAAGAGAATCGTCATGTACTCCAGCAACAACACAGTCTCCGGCCTCGCCAAACGGGCCCTGCGTATGATGGGAGAGGAAGTGCCAAAACGAATCCTGTCCTGTGTGCCCAACTGGAAGACCTGCGAGGTGCAGACGTGGCTGCAGCAGGTTGGCTTCAGTGCCTTCTGTGACCGTTTCCAGGTGAGCAAAACTACCAAGGGTTTCAGAGAGATGACCACATTTTTGAAGTGTTGCTCAGCCAGTGCTTTGTCCCGTTTCACAGGAGCTTCAGGTGGATGGAGATCTTCTTCTGAACGTCACCGATCAGGATCTGAGCTCTGATTTGGGCATAACTGGTCTCACCTGCAAGAGGTCAGTTCCYGAAACTTGTTAAAACTCAAGACTGAGGCAGAGCGGAGTGTCACAATCGGATGTTTTTAACTCTCCAGGTTTTTGAGAGATTTACGTGTGCTGAAGACCTACGCCGACTACTCCATGTGTGACCCTCACAACATGGCCGACTGGTTAGCCGAGGTGGACCCTCGATTTCGCCAGTACACCTACAGCCTGCTGCAGGCGGGGGTGGACCGCAGCATCATTCAGAGCCTGACCGATCAGCAGCTCCAGCACGACTGCCACATAGACAACAGAGTCCACCGAGCAAAGATACTGTCTGCAATTCGCAAGCCGATAAAACTTAGCCACACGGACGCTAAACCCCCGGGGCCCGACGTGTTCATTAGCTACCGTCGGACTACCGGGTCCCAGCTGGCCAGGTCAGGACTGACAGGGAGGAGAACATCAAAAATAAAAAAACAAGAATAACTTCTGATTATTTTTTTCATCCCCCCCAGCCTTCTGAAGGTGCACCTACAGGTCAGAGGTTACAACGTCTTCATAGATGTGGAAAAGCTGGAGGCCGGAAAATTTGAGGAAAAATTGATTCAGAGTGTTCAGAGGGCCCGCGGCTTCATCCTGGTACTGTCCGCCAACGCCCTCGACAAGTGCATGGGCGACACCGCGATGAAGGACTGGGTGCACAAGGTCAGGAGTTTTCCACAATTATACAAACGTCTCTTAGTGAGTTGCACCTCAAACACTGACTTCTGGCCTCGTTCTGACTGGGTTGTTTGACCACTCTTCCTGGCAAAATTGATTTAATTTAAACTAGTTAGCTYCCTGACACTGACCCTGCTTTTCAGCTTAGATGACAAATTTACCACCGAGCTGAGGACAGACTTATCCAGTCACAAACCAGTTTTGATGAGTTTTGGACCATTTTCCAACTGGAACAYGCAAATTTCCAAGCTTGTACCGTCTAGGTGCTGATTTGAGTTGAAKTTGAAGAATTTGACAGATAGTCCTCCTCCTCCTACTTACACCACTTACTAAAATATTTAAATGAACCAATGCATGATTTTGAGCCTGTGTGCCTTAGAAACAAAACAAAGTAAACTTCTGCACAGTTTTGTTTTGTCAGAATATATAAGAAAAAATATATAATTATTAATACTTATTCCATTAATTATTAAAAGTTATTAATCTAATAAAAATTATGTAATTTCCCTCTGGGATTAATAAAGTATTTATATATCATCTGTCTTGCAGGAAATAGTCACGGCCCTGGCTGGTAAGAAAACCATAGTTCCTGTCATAGACAACTTTGTGTGGCCGGACACCAGTTTACTACCAGAGGACATGAGAACTGTCCTCAACTTCAATGGCGTTAAGTGAGTGTCTGTCCACTTTACTGTGATAACCTCATCATATGAGACCCCTGCTGGCAAAATGAGTCACAAGGAGGAATTTTTCAACACGGGATTGTTATTAGTTATAAATTGTCCATCTCAAATCTTAAAAATGATACGGATTTTGTTGAAATTTGATGGTTGATCACCTGGCTAACATCAAGCTAGTTTAGTTTACGAGAGTTTTGATTTTTTTTTACCAGCCCTCTATTCTGAAAGGGGAATCCCCATGCTTCACAATGATGCCTAACTATACAAATTGGCAATGAAAAATTATAAATTTCAAAAGGAATGATAAGTATTATAAGACGAAGGACACTTTCTGAAGATATACCTATTAGAAAACTTTGATTTAAAGGTAGAGTAGAAAGATTTTAAGCTATTTTAATATCAGGATGACTAGACAGTCTTTTCCGCAAATTGTAATTATGGCAAAAACTATTTTTACTTTTTTTGCACTCCAGTCTGACTAATTTTGCCAGCACTGGTCAAATATGTTGCTTTTAACCACAGAACAATTCTGTGGTAGTAAACACAGAGCGAGAATATTTTTCGTCAGTGGTTGTCAGATTGTTCATTTTCAGTCACAAAACCATTTATCAAGTTTCTATGATGAGTATTTTATCAATGCAAAGGTGAACCTAATAAACTGGTCTTATTTTAATTTTTCCGCGGCTTCTGTTGCCTCTTTTCACAGATGGTCCCATGAATACCAAGAAGCCACGATCGAGAAGCTCATCCGCTTTCTGGAACGAAAAGAAGACATCGACGGGCCGGACAAATCTAAAGACCAGAAGAAGAAATAAATAAAGAGTCTGAACACAGATATAAGACTGCACTCCTGTAAGCCGTCTGGAGCTGTTCCTGCTTGGCCCTACAGCATGTAAAGCTAAAGATGCTTAGATAACTTCCTCACATAAATGCCTAATGAATAGATGAGTTAAAACGGGAGTGTCAGGTTGCCATATAAATAACCTGAAATTAATAGTTCAGATCTTTTGAGGTGGGATTCAGTGGAAAGGCTATAAACAAATGACGTCTTACCTGTTGTAGATAGTTCTTGGCACGAGCTCAGTTAGAAAAGAAAAAAAAACAGTTTAATTCTGTTTTGGATTGACGAGCTAATGGCTAGTCCTAGCTGGGCCAAAAACAAAGCAGACTTCTGCTGCCACCATTTTACAGACTTTCAACCGCTGTTACCATAGTTTCACATAAAAGTTATTTACATAAAACATTAAGGGTATTAGCAAACAGCAGCAGCTAGCTGTAGCACGTCCAGCAAAAATATATTCCTGCCAAATTTGCAACGTAAAGCTTACAGAATGGTGTTCCTTGGTCCCACTCAGACTAGCCACTAGCTTGTCACTACGATCCAAACTAAACATTTGAATTGTTTTTCCAAGTTGAGCTCGTTCAAAGAGCTGCCAACAGCAAAGTGGATCCCACTCTAAAATATTTGAATTACAGCTTTAATGTCAGTACCGCTGTATAATGTAACCACATTCAGTATCTCAGGAAAATAATCAACCAGCCGTCATCAATAATAATCTGTGGAAGCTCCACCGACCCTCCAGTGTCCGTCAGAGTTACTGTTTAAGCTGGTATCTATCCTTTAACGTGTCTATAATAAAGTGAYGTCGGGCTCCGATCTGACTCAGCTGTTTTTGTGCTGCGATAGGCAAAAATAAAATTAATTTTTTTGACAAAACCGAGCGGTRTGAATTTTCTTTGAGATAAGAAAGTCTTACTTTATCTTGAGCTGAGCTGCAGGAATATTTGCTACCTCCAGTTTTACCAAAACATAATTCAAAAACTATAAATCTAGAAAAAAAGACATGTAGTTTGTAGTATTAAATAAATCTTTGTTAAGAATGGATGAAGATGTCAAACATGACCGTAGAGGACCAAACTACAGTATATGTTGTCCAGATTTCAACATGAAGCAGAAAATTAGGTTTATCTTTAAATAAACTTTTAGAAATGTTTAAGTTCAACATTACGAAAACTGATGTTGCTGTAATATTTAGTTTTTTTTGTGCTTTATCAATGAATATCCATCCATCCATCCATTTTCTGTACACGCTTCTTCCTTTTCAGGGTTGCGTGGGTCACTGGTGCCCATAT